CACAGAGCGTTTTTTGGATTGTTTGAAGCACAGCCCAGAGGCCATTGTGGGGATTGTGCACAGGAGATGAGAGATTGGGGATGGGGTGCAGATCGGGTAGGATGTTCATATAATGTCTAGATTACTCTGAGACATTTCTGGGCAAAATGAAACATTAATATTTATGTCATAGCAACAGGCATGAATCAGACCTGTAGTTGGTGAATCCCACCACCCTACTGATAGATAGGTTACTTGGCTTTTACTTTGAAGAAAATGGGAAGCCAGTGGACAGTTTTGGAGAGAAGCAGCACCAGCTGATATTTACTTTGACAGCATTACTCTAACTGCTCTATTGAGGGACTGTAAGGTCAAGGGCAGAAGCAGGAAAGCCAGTGAGGGGGCTATTGCAATAATTAAGGGATAAATTGCTGGTGACTTGGACTAGGGTGATCAGATATGTTTGGATACGGGTTGTATCTTGACATTGGAGGCGGAAAAAATTACTTATGAGTTGATGTGGGGTGTGAGACAGTATTGAAGTGTAACCCCACAGTTTTTGCCTTTCCAGAACATCTGGAAAGATGAGAAGACCACAAGAGGAGTTGGTTGTGATGGTGTGTTGAAGCATTTGATTTTGGATATACCAGGTTTGAGCTGCCTACTTGATGTCCAAGCAGAGATGTCAGTACTTTGTTGGAAATACAATCTGAAGTTCAGAGTAGAGGTCTGGACTGGAGATACACCCTTGGGGGCACTGTTATATAAATGGTATTTAAAACTGAAATTGGATGAGGTCACCAGTCTCATCCAATGGATGTAAGTGGTGAAGACTGAACTACTACCCTCAAGTGGAGCTTCCATTTCACAATTGCCTCTTGGCTGTTTCTCTCATGACACCTAAAGATGCTCCAAAGTTGAGATGAGAGATGAGGTAGAACCAGCAGAGGAGGCTAAGTGGGAGGAAATGCTGAGTGTGGAGTCCTAGAAGGCAAGAGAGGAACATGGAGGAGAATTGAGCAAGCACATCAGACGATGGGGAAATGAGGACAGGAACAGAGGCCGTCACCCTGACCAAGTGAAAGTCATTGGTGACTTGTTGACCAGTTTCCCTTTTGCTGAGGAGCAAAAATCTAAGTGTAATGGGATTAAGAAGAAATGAGGGAGGGCTGGGAATGCAGCTCAAGGGCAGGGAACTTGCCTAGCAAATCTGAGGCCCTGGGTTTCATCCCCAGTACCAATAAAAGTTTTAAAAATAAATGGAGGAGGGGGTTAGAAATAGCTAGTATAGACCTAAACTTATAAGGAATCTGGTTATAAAGGAGAACAGTGAAATGGAGGGATGAGGGGGCGGTAACAGGTGGCAGATAGAATCAAGAAAATCTATTTCTTTTTTTTTTTTTTAAAGAGAGAGTGAGAGAGGAGAGAGAGAGAGAGAGAATTTTTAATATTTATTTTTTAGTTCTCGGCGGACACAACATCTTTGTTGRTATGTGGTGCTGAGGATCGAACCCGGGCCGCACGCATGCCAGGCGAGCACACTACCGCTTGAGCCACATTCCCCAGTCCAAGAAAATCTATTTCTTTATAAGACATGAGAAAGAAAAAAAATACACACACACACACACACACACACACACACGCACGCACGCACATATATGTTTATATATACTGATGGGAATGACCCAATGGAATGAAAAGATAGTGAGAGCACAAGTGGCAGGTTGACTGTGCCTGGGAGCATGCTCAGTTTGTTCATAGTGTCAGGTGGCAGGTGGAACAAAGCACAGTGAGGCAGGGAGGCAGGTGGTGGGTGGATAGGAGCTCTTAAAGTCTCTTCTGATGGCTTCTGTTTTCTCAGTGACATGGGAAGCAAGGCAGAGAGCCAAAGGCTACAGGTGGAGGAAGCACTGGAGGATTGAAGAGGGGAGGGTTGAAATCTATGGGTGTAGGAGAGTGAATGGACTAGAAAAAGGTTTTCAGAATGCTGGGGGGCTTCAAGGACCCACTTGATGATGTTAAGGGTCATGAATTTGCATGAGACATGTTGCCATGGTTGAGTGTTTTCTCCAGCCACATCCAACTGCTTGGGATAGGCCAAATGAGTTACCAGGGCTGCGGTTTTGCCAGATAGAGAGAGGGGCAATGGTCTATGCAAGGAAGTGCTTATAATTGTCCTTGAAATCTGAGAAAAGTAATAAGGGAAATCAGGATGTGAGGGGGAAGAGGAACAATGGAAAGAGGATCATGGTGGGGGGCTGTCCAGTGAGGTGCAGGATTGTTGGGGTGGGGCATGACAAACCTTTCTCCTTGACCAAACTTTAGCCAGTTTTCTCTGAGTCCCCCTTTTTTTTTTTTTTTTTTGAGAGAGAGAGAGAGAGAGAATTTTATTTTTAATATTTATTTTTTAGTTCTCGGCAGACACAACATCTTTGTTGGTATGTGGTGCTGAGGATCGAACCCGGGCCGCACGCACGCCAGGCGAGCGCGCTACCAGTTGAGCCACATCCCCAGCCCATCTGAGTCCCCTTCTTGACCAGCCTCAGTGTTGCCTACCCATCCATTCCCCATCACTGCCAGGCCTGTCTAGCTCAGTTTGTTTGTTTATGGTGCGGAGCATTGAACCCAGGGAATTGTGCATGCTAGGCAAGTGAGTTCTACCACTGAGCTACATCCCCAGCCCTTTTAAAATTTTGAGACAGGATCTCATTAAGTTGCTGAGACTGATTTCAAACTTAAAAAATTCTTCTGCTTCAGCCTCCCAAGTAGGTGGAATTATAGGCATGTGTATCTGTGTCCAGTTTGTCCAGTTCAGTGTAGAGGGAATTCCCTTCACCCTTGATATTTGATCACCCTGAGCTGCCTTCAGCAAGAATCCTGTTATTTTGGTTTAGCAAAAGTCCCCTTAAGGGTTGGGACTGTAGCTCAGTGGYAGAGCGCTTGCCTAGCATGCATGAGGCACTGGTTTCGATCCTTAGCACCACATAAAAATAAACAAAGACATTCTGTCCATTTGCAACTACAAACAACAACAAAAACTGAAAAAAAAAATTCTTACTTTGATGTCTCCTTTTAGTAATTATCCATCCATTGACCCCTTCTTTATGCACATTGGCTATGAACCCCCAACTATCTTCAGAACTGAGTTTAATATCTCTTCCCTGTTGCAATATTTTTTTTCTTTTGCAGTAGTAAGAATTGAACCCAGGGATGCTCTTCCACTGAGCTATATCCCCAGCATTTTTTTTTAAAGTGGTTATGGGGCTCTGCAGTGACTGTGCATAAGCCCAATACATAGTCCTTTTTAAATTTTTTTTTTTAGTTGTAGATGGACACAATACCTTTATTTTATTTGTTTGTTTATTTTTATGTGGTGCCAGGTATCGAACCCAGTGCCTCAGACATGCTAGGCAAGCACTGTACCATTAAGCCACAACCCTGGCCTCCTCCCCAGCACTTTTAATCTTTTATTTTGAGACAGGCACTCACAAAGTTCCTGATGCTGGCCTTGAATTTGCAATCCTTCTGCCTCAGCCTCCAGAGTGCTGAGATTACACTCTTATGCTACTGTGCTTGGTGCCTATTGTAATAATCTTGAAGACATTGCAATAGTCCTGAATAAAGTCTTCCTTAACAAGGTTAGATTAATATTTTCTCTAACAGATGTACTAAAAGAGGTAAGAAAGAAGAGAGACTGCAGATATTGGTAAAGACAAGGTGTAGGGCAAAACCAGTGGAGAACTGGGTAGCATGAAGGGTAAGGCCTCTGAAGCAGAGTTGAGTGACTGGCCAGGGTGTTGGACTCACCAAAGTGGAAACCACCAAAAATTGTGATAACCCTGCGGGCAGCAGAGATGACCTAAAAATGCCAATTTTGAGCTGCTGATGACATCTCTTTCTGACAGAGCCACATTTGGGTTGGTCTGGCCTCCTTTCTCTCCTAGAGGAGTGTTGTAGATACTCTACAACCAAGGAACAGTGATAGAGAAACCTGTTCATTTCCTGAGGCTCATATGAAGGTGTGACCATAAAGTCTATATAAAATTTAGGAATACACGAAAGCTCTGCAAGCTTTAATTTCCTAATCTGAAACGCTGAAATAGCAACAACGACCTCAGAGAGTGGTTATGCACCTTTAATGAAGCACTGTATGCAAAGAATAATTTACTGAACATGCGGGGGCGTTGTTCTCAAGTGTCTATTAGCTCATGAACTCTCAAGGCAATCTTTGGAGGGAGGTCATAGTTTACCCTCATTTTACAGATAAGGAAACGTTGTCTGGAACTGCTATCCATGCAGTTGATGGGACCTGTAAAGAATGAGCAGGGGACTCCAACTAGGTAGTTGGGTTCACAAGTTTCACCATCTCTGCAGGAGGTAGGAACTTCAAGCTCAGAGCCACAAAAGTAGACAGCGATCCAGTCAGATCCTCAGGATCTGCGCCTCCGGGGCTCCGGCCCTGATCGGCGGCCCACGTCTCCCTCCGGTGGCCGAGGCGAAGACCGCAGCTGGCGGGCTGGACAGGGCCCGAGGGAAGGGTCCCCCGCTGGGGGTGAGGGCGACGATGCGGTGTACATTCTAGGGCTCCGTGAAGCTGGAGAACTACGATTCCAGAAGGCACCGACAGATGTCGCTCGAAATACCTGGCGACATACCTGAGCCAGGTGTCGCGGCCCCGCCCACCCCACTTCGTTTTTCCGCCGTAGCCACACACCCATTTTACGGGGCGGTTCCTCCGGGGAACTCCTTGGACCTGAGCGGCGTCGGGACCGCGCGACGGGTGCCTGTTTGCATAGGGGTAACGCGGGCTGTAGGGACCGTAGCTCATGACATGCGCGAGACACAGGTCTACAGGACGACCTGGCAGCAGCCCCTCGGGGCGCACGTGGAGCCTGCCGCGCCGGCCCGCGGAGCGCGAGGGGCGGGGCTTCCCCCTTCACGCCCACGGGGCGGGGCCGGCGCCAGGGACCAATGGGGCGCCTTGCTGGGGGGGGCAGGCTCGGGGCCTGGCATCCCGGTAGCCGGCAGTCTTTTCCGGCCCCCGCGCCCCCGCCGCGCGTAGCGGACCCCACAGCTTGCGGGGATCCACCCCCGGCGGCTGCGTCCCGTGGGTGGTGAGTGAGAACCCCGCTGCGACTAACCAAGGGGTACGCCTGGCCGGCGAAAGGGGAGCTTGGCCCCTGCACCCCGCTGCGGGAGCGAGTGGGCAGGAGCGGGTGGGTGGGGCAGGAGGCCCCCCGACCTTGTGTGGATCGCTGGGAGCTGGCCTGGGAATCTGTTTTGGTAGTCGAGGGGTGTGTTTGGGTTGATAGAGTTGAGGGGGCTCCTGGTGTGGATGGGCAGAATCTGGCGAAGCTCAGGAGAGGAGGGGGCTTGAGATGGGCTGAGAGAGGGGGATAACTGAGGGCCGGGCTTTGCAATATTTGGAAGTTTCTTGTTGCTCTTGGGTGAGGTGATGTGTGGTGGGACTTGAGAGGGGTGGCCCAGGACTGCAGGAGTGGATGAGGAGGGCTGCTTGCTGGTAACTTACTTCCCTTTTGGGGTATTTGCTTCCTCTTGTACCGCTAGTTAAGGGGGAATAGGCTGGAGAAGCCTGGGCTGACAGCGTACCTATGTCCCTTTCTAGAGCCGCTGCCATCCCTTTTTTCTGGGATATGGGAAGGGGTGGTCCCCTTGAGCTGGGAGGGGTGCTGGTACCCATGCGGAGGGGATTGGGGTTCACGATTGGGAGACAGTGGTTGGGATCATCTGCAGCCTTACTGGCGCTTTTGAGTTGGTGTGTGTGTGTGTGTGTGTGTGTGTGTGTGTGTGTTTTGCCAGTGAATGTGTAAGTTTCCTTACAGGTCTCTCCTTTTTTTTTTTTTTTTAATGGGTGGGGGGCTCGGTGGAATTGCTATTCATGCAGCATAATCTCCTTTACAGGCCACTGAACTCATTTGTGGCTTCCTTTGCCTGGGCTCAGCCATGGCCAGCGAGAACTCACCTCTGCTGGCCTACAGGCTCCTGGGGGATGAGGGGTCTGCCTTCCCTGCCTCTGGAGTTGGAGGTCCTGGAGGGCCGTCCCCCCGGAAGCTCTCCACCTTCCTGGGTGTCGTGGTGCCCACTGTCCTGTCCATGTTCGGTATAGTTGTCTTCCTGAGGATTGGTGAGTGCAGGAGGACTTACCTTGTGGGTGGGGAGTAGATATGGGTGGTTGGAATAAGGCTGGGGGAAGAGAGTGGAGGGAGGATTTGTGGGGAGGCCATCTGTAGCCTTATGTGAAGCTCTGCCCTGGAATTCTGCTGCCCAATGGAGCGGGTGGTGGTGGTGGGGTGCCTTGTGACCTGTTTGCCCTTCTGATCCAGGGTTCGTGGTGGGCCACGCTGGGCTGCTGCAAGCCTTGGCCATGCTCCTGGTTGCCTACTTCATCCTGGCCCTCACTGTCCTCTCTGTCTGTGCCATCGCTACCAATGGAGCCGTGCGAGGGGGTGGAGCCTACTGTATCCTCCAACCTGGATGGACTAGGATCTGGGTTGTTCTGTCTTCGAGGGGTGGGGGGGAAGGGGCCAGTATCCTCCCTCTGCTGAAGGCAGGGCAAATTCTAATGAATGGCCAGATGGAAGGCCAGGATGAAGGAGACCAACATGGCCCTGTGTAACAATCTGGTCATTTTACAGAAAAGAAACTGGAGCTCAGAGGGTACAGGCGATCTCTGCAAAGCCACATGGCTGGGAGATGCCCTCACCTGGATACATTACCACAGGGATCTGAGCTGCAGTTTGCAGGGAGACAAGGCCTAGAGGCTGGTTTCAGAGAGATTCAGGTCATGGCCCCTTCCTCATGCTTCACTTCAGTTTTTTTTCCCTTAACGCTCACCCTCGCTTCCACTTTTAGTCATGATCAGCAGGACTCTGGGGCCCGAGGTTGGGGGCAGCATTGGCCTCATGTTCTACCTGGCCAATGTCTGCGGCTGTGCTGTCTCCCTGCTGGGACTGGTGGAGTCAGTGCTTGACGTCTTTGGGGCAGGTTTGTGTTCTCCCAACCTGGTTGGGGCAGCCTTGTGGGTTTGCAGGGTCTGGGATTGTGGGATGAGGAAGGCAGAGTTCTGGTTTTCTTCTCCTTTGTGGCCAGCTTCATATAGGAAATATGGACATCCCAGTCAGAGAGACCACCCTAATCCCTAAATGATAGAGCAAGATTGGTACCTATCAGGGAGAACTAGGTTGCTGGGGTAAAGCAGCTCAGTGGGGAAGTGGTGAAGATGGGCTCTCAGACAGCAGTAGGCAGAGGGGTCTGCTTCTGTTTTCGGTCATTTCTGGGGCTGGGGCCTTCCCTGGGGTCATGCCTTCTAACTGTATCCCTTCCTTTCTCCAGATGCCACAGGGCCCAGTGGGATCCGGGTCCTGCCCCAGGGTTACGGCTGGAATCTGCTCTATGGCTCCCTGCTCCTGGGCCTTGTGGGTGGTGTGTGCACATTGGGAGCTGGCCTCTATGCCCGCGCCTCCTTCCTGACATTCCTGCTGGTCTCTGGTTCTCTGGCCTCAGTGCTGGTCAGCTTTGTGGCGGTGGGCCCAAAGGACATCCACTTAACTCCTCGGCCTGGTACCAATGGCTCCTCGCTGCCACCCCGGTTCGGCCACTTCACTGGCTTCAATAGCAGCACCCTGAAAGACAACTTGGGCGGTGAGCTGGGTGCTGTGGTGCCAGGGTCCTTGAGTGAGGCGTGGGCAGGTATGGGGTCTGGGCACTTAGAATCTCAGGAGGAGATTCCCAAGTGTCAGAGAGACAGACTCAGGGGCAGGAGGCCTGGACCTCCAAACAGGGCAGGCAGATCACAAATGTGTGTGGCATGTATTGGGCCTGGTGGAGAGAGCGCAGAGCAGACTCTGCCTTAGAGGAACTTGCGTGCAGGTTGGAGAAACACAATGTGCACTCAGGAAATGATTAAGTAATTCAGTAAGACCCAGCGTGATTCAAGCAGAGGAGGGGACCAGCCCATGGGCTGCCAAAGGCAGGGGCAGGGGATCTGGTCTGAGCTGGGCTGGGGAATTCAGATAGCAAGGAGCAGGGAAGGGAAGCATATTTTGAAAGAGAGTGGATTTGAACCTGTAGGAAGGAATAGAGAACTGGGGAGCAGGCAATGCAGGGCCAGCAGAGGTGTCAGGGCTGGGGTCTCCATGAGGGCAGTGAAGAGGAGACAAGGGCATTATGGAATTGAAGGACTATAATACCTAGATACCAAGAGGGACACTGATATCCTCTTTGTCCTGGGAACAATCCTTTGCAGCTGGCTATGCCGAGGACTACACCACAGGGGCCATGATGAATTTTGCCAGCGTCTTTGCTGTCCTTTTTAATGGCTGCACAGGCATTATGGCTGGGGCCAATATGTCAGGTGAGAGTCTCTGCTGCAGCTTTCTGGGTGAGTGGGAAGGCCATCCTGAAGGATATGGGGCAAGCAGAAGGCTGATCTCTTCCCTCTGCTCCTCTCCCTCCAGGGGAGCTAAAGGACCCCAGCCGCGCAATTCCTCTGGGCACAATCATCGCTGTTGTCTACACCTTCTTTATCTACATCCTGCTTTTCTTCCTCTCYAGCTTCACCTGTGACAGGTGCCTGGGGTTGGGGGAGTGAGACAGGCCCTCAAGGGAGTGGGTGGGTGCTGGAATAGGCTGGTGCCTCTGGATCACCACCAGAAGCAAAGGTTGGGGAGCAGGTACTCAAGTTGTTGGGTGGAGGGGTGCATGGGGACACTCCCACGGGGAGAGAGACAGAACTGCTGCTGTCCTTGGGGAGGGCTGGCTCCATGATGGTAGCTAAACAGTAGCCAGCAGCTGCCATGTGCCTGATTTGGTTGTGAGCACTCAGTTGGGGGTGGACGTGGGGGATGGCTTTCCAGGACTTTGCATTTGTACAAATATTCTTCCTCTTGTGCCTGTACTATTGGGAATGACCAACCAAGGCAGTCCAGGATGACCATGGAATGCCAAGTATCACTCTGATCCTTAAGATCACAGCTAAGGTCAGTTAAGAGGATCAAGCTCTTAACCGATCATTGTCATGAGGAATTTTCTCCCAAGGACCTTCTGATGGGTGCATGGCGATTATCTATATCCCGCTCTGCCCTCCCTCCCAGGACCCTATTGCAGGAAGACTATGGGTTCTTTCGAGCCATCAGCCTGTGGCCTCCRCTGGTGTTGATTGGCATCTATGCCACGTCACTGTCAGCCTCCATGAGCTCACTCATCGGTGCCTCCCGCATCCTGCATGCCCTGGCCCAGGATGACCTCTTTGGTTTGTCCCCCTCTGTCTTCATGCCGTCTGTGAGCATGAGCTCTTGAGTCTGTCTCAGTCCCCACTTGGCCCAAGCTGATATGAATCCTATGATTCTGTTTTTATAGGAGTGATCTTGGCTCCAGCCAAGGTTGTGTCCGGAGGGGGGAACCCCTGGGGTGCTGTCCTGTATTCTTGGGGGTTAGTACAGGTAAGCCTTCCTCTGTGAGCTGCCCTACCCCTCACCCTCTAGCTGGGAGGATCAGGATCAGACTTACATGTAGGCTGGGAGACGTGTATGGAAAGGTGGCTACATTGGCATTTGGTGGGGTACACTGTTTTTTTATGATGTTCACTGGGATTTCTTGGGGTGCTTTGGCATTTTGTGGGGGATGCGACGGCACTTTGGATCCATGCCCCACCTCTTGGTCCCTGCCCAGCTGGTGCTTCTGGTAGGGAAGCTGAACACCTTGGCTGCCGTGGTGACTGTCTTCTACTTGGTAGCCTATGCTGCAGTGGACCTGTCCTGCCTGAGCCTGGAGTGGGCCTCTGCCCCCAACTTCCGGTGAGAAGCTAAGATGCCTGAGTCCCTAGAGAAAAGGAGGGAGGAATAGGAAGGACTGAGCCTAGGGTGGTGGGCTGGGGACTTGAGCACATGCCGTTTGTTGGACACCAGCCTGAGTTCCCTTCCTTCCTTCTCTCTGCCCACCCCAGCCCCACCTTCAGCCTCTTCTCCTGGCACACCTGCCTCCTGGGGGTGGCCTCCTGCCTGCTCATGATGTTCCTCATCAGCCCTGGGGCTGCCGGCGGCTCCCTGCTTCTCATGGGCCTGCTCTCTGCCCTGCTCACGGCACGAGGAGGCCCCAGCAGCTGGGGCTACGTCAGCCAGGCCTTGCTCTTCCACCAGGTTGGGGGTGCTTGTGGGAAGGGGTTGGGGAGGCGATCTATGAAAGCCCCCTGCCCGGGAATTGGTGTCCCCGTCCGGGAGGAGCTGACAGGCGGCTGCCCATTCAAACCCGTCCTCTCTATCACCTCAGGTGCGGAAGTACCTGCTGCGCCTGGACGTCCGGAAGGAGCATGTGAAATTCTGGCGGCCCCAACTGCTGCTCCTGGTGGGGAACCCCCGGGGTGCCCTGCCTCTGCTGAGGTTGGCCAACCAGCTCAAGAAGGGAGGGCTCTATGTGCTGGGCCATGTCATCCTGGGAGATCTTGGTGAGCTGCCCTTCTGCCTGCTCCTGTCCTTTCTCTGCCTTCATCTTAGACGCCTCATGCTTGCTTGCTTTTTTTTTTTATATTAGGGGTTCAAGCCAGGGGTGCCCTACCACTGAGCTATATCCCCAGTACTTTTTATTTTTCATTTTGAGACAAGGTCTTGCTAAGCTGCTGAGGCTGGCCTTGAATTTGCCATCCTCTTGCCTCAGCCTCCTGTCACTGGGATGACAGGTATGTCCTAGCCTAGCAAGTGCTTCTTCTTAAATTGTTCTCCCATTGGGTGTAGTGGCTCATGCCTGTAATCCCAGTGGCTCAGGAAGCTGGGGCAGGAGGATTTCGAGTTCCAAACCAGCCTCAGCAACAGTGAGGCGCTAAGCAACTCAGTGAGACCCTGTCTCTAAATAAAATACAAAATAGGGCTGGGGATGTGGCTCAGTGGTTGAGTGCCCCTGATTCAATTCCTGATACCAAAAAAAAAAAAAAAAAAGAAAGAAAGAAAAAGAAAAAATTGTCCTTCAACCAGTCATAGCCCTGCCCATACCTATCATTTGGGATTTGGACTCGTTAAGAAAGAATCAATGAGTGTGGCTCACAGTGTTATTTTCCTTCTCGGCAGATTCCCTGCCTTCAGACCCTGTACAGCCACAATACGGGGCATGGTTGAGCCTGGTGGACCAGGCCCAAGTGAAGGCCTTCGTGGACCTCACCCTGGCATCCTCTGTGCGCCAGGGGGCTCAGCATTTGCTGCGAATCTCGGGCCTTGGTGAGTGCCCCTCCCTGGGTCCCTTTAGCCTCCTCTATGGCCCCTTCCAATCTCAGCTTCCTTCCCACAGAGAATAAACCACAACCCTGCAAGCAGAACTCACGATGTGGTACAGATAAGACCGTGCCCGATGATAGTGGCTGCAAATGGTGCGATATGGTCTAACAGAGGAGGCTGAGGGCTAGATATGGAACGATCCTATTTTGTTTCATTTTCTTCCTTTTTTTTTTTTTTTTTCCTCCCCTGAGCAAAAAATTGGAGGGTAGGCTCTGAAGAGTGTATTTCTTGGGACAATGGGAGAATTATCTGAGTCTTGGACTGCTCCATTGAAACAGATGGTTGCTAACCACCAGGGTTCAGAGCCAGCATGACCACGAGGCACTGATGTGGCCAGCAAAGGTTTTGTGGAGAGATGGTAACTAAGCCAGGCCTGAAAGGGCCTAAGTGGTAGGGAGGGGCGTAACATGGTCCCTGACACCACAAAGGGTGCTGGAGGGTGTGTGGGGCTGATCCTTTTAGATGGAGTGGAACATTCCCAGCTTTGTGATCCTCATTGCTGAGGTTTCCAGCCTTGTACCTCAGGTTCCTCTGAATCCATGCTCAGCCTCCTCCTTCTCCCTTAATCCCAAGACTAGTAGTGTCTGTYACCTGGGTGCACACCTCCTCCTCTGTTTAGAATCTGGCTAAAGTTCAACAGCATTGGACATTGCCCTGCTTGGTGTGAATCAGAACCCAGGAAAATGCTCAGGAGGGGTTGTGACTAGTTTGATTTGTAAGATCAGTCGTACTTCCTGCTTGCTGAGAGATTTAGGGACAGTACCAAGTATGTTGAGACCCCCATCCCAGCATCTGAGAGTGTGGTCTTTCTTGCTTTTGTTCAGAGAGACCATTGTATTCGTGTGTTCATGAAACTTCTCCTGTGGAAGATGCTTCCAACAAGAGGGAAAGGACTTCCTCTGTAAACTCCCTGAGCATGTAGGATTTGATCTCAAAGATTTTGAGCCATTTATTTCATGAGAAGGGGTTTTAGAAGAGGTCTCGGTCTCTCTCTCTCTCTCTCTCTCTCTCTCTCTTTTTGTACAAGGGATTGAACCCAGGGGCATTTAACCACTGAGCCACATCCCCAGTCCTTTTAATATTTTATTTAGAGACAGGATCTTCCTAAGTTGCTTAGGGCCTCACTAAGTTGCTGAGGCTGGCTTTGAACTTTCGATCCTCCTGCCTCAGCCTCCCAAGCTGCTAGGGTTACAGGTGTGCATCACCGCACCTGGCAGAAGAGGTTTCTTGAGTCTGGCTGTAAACTTAGCCCTGTTGAAGGGGGGGTAATAACCCGAATGCACACTGGTGGTTCCAAAATTAAAAACCAGAAGCTATGGGTAGAGACTTGGGTTGTTGAAGTCATCCACACCCAGCTTGGTGGCCCAGAGAACGACCTCTGGTGTGGGTGGACTGTGTTTGTCTGTTTGCCCTGGGACTCACCAGTGTGAGGCTCTGGGCCAGTGACTTCACCGCGTGGGGCCTCGGGTTCCTTCTCTGTTCAAGGGGGCGATAAATAGTATCTATCTCATAGCTTTACTTCAAGGCTCAAAGGAAGAAAAATACAAAGAGCTTTCATGCAGATATTAGCTCTTTTTTTTTCAGGGMCAGGCTATGGACCACCATTCTCAGGGCTTTGCAGTAATACAAGCAAAAGGCAGAGCCCAGCACTTTTTCTGATCCTCCCCCCTGTGGGGCCTGGGGTGCTGTTTCTCTGGGGTTGAATGACCAGGGTGTCTGGTTTGCTGGGTGGAGTTCAATTCTCATTTCCCATCCTGAGAAARGTGTGCTGCTTTTGGCTTGCAGTGGGTAACAGCTGGGGTCCCCGGCATCACAAACACTAATTAGTTAAAAGAATCCTGAGGTGAACTTTGTCTATTTAAGGGGAGAAGATTAGCCATGGAGATAATCAAATAGATGCATGTGAAAGTGTTTAGGAAAACTAAGTCATTCTCCAAGCATGCGTCATGTTTGCACCATAATGGCCCTGGTGCAGCAGGGACCTAATACCTTATGGCTGACACACGTTGATGACAGCGTGTGTGAGTGGGTGCGGATCAGCGTGCAGTAAACTCAGCCTGATTCCTGTCTGTTCCTTTCTGCCTCCCCCTCTCTGCCCCCAGGCGGCATGAAGCCCAACACGTTGGTCCTAGGTTTCTATGATGATGCTCCCCCACAGGACCATTTCCTCACAGACCCAGCATTCTCTGAGCCTGCGGATGGCACCAGGGAGGGTGGGTCTCCTGCCCTGAGCACCCTGTTCCCCCCACCCCGGGCTCCTGGGAGCCCCCGGGCTCTCAGCCCCCAGGACTATGTGGCCACCATGGCAGATGCCCTCAAGATGAACAAGAATGTGGTTCTGGCCCGGGCCTGTGGGGCCTTGCCCCCAGAGCGGCTGAGCCGGGGGTCCTGGAGCACCGCTCAGCTTCATCATGTGGACGTGTGGCCCCTCAACCTGCTGCGGCCCCGGGGTGGGCCTGGCTATGTGGATGTGTGTGGCCTCTTCCTGCTGCAGATGGCGACCATCTTAGGAATGGTGCCTGCCTGGCACAGTGCCCGGCTCCGGATCTTCCTGTGCTTGGGGCCTCAGGAGGCCCCTGGGGCGGCTGAGGGGCGACTCCGGGCACTGCTGAGCCAACTGAGGATCCGGGCTGAGGTGCAGGAGGTGGTGTGGGGTGAGGGTGCTGGGGCTGGGTCGCCAGAGGAGGAGGAGGAAGGGGACTTTGTGAACGGTGGGCGGGGTGAAGCTGAAGCCGAGGCCCTGGCCTGTAGCGCCAACACCCTGGTGCGGGCCCAGCAGGGTCAAGGCTCTGGAGGAGGGCCTGGGGGGCCTGAGGGTGGGGACCAAGGTCCTGCCACAGCCCTTACCTTCCTGTACCTGCCTCGGCCGCCTGCTGATCCTGCCCGATACCCCCGCTACCTGGCACTGCTGGAGATACTGAGTCGCGACCTGGGCCCCACGCTGCTCATTCATGGTGTCACCCCTGTCACCTGCACTGACCTCTGAGGCTCTAGGTGGCTAGTGAAAGCCCTTGCTCATCCTGATTAACGGACGATCCGCCTCCCACTGGCCGGGACCTTGGGTCATAGAACCTAGCAGATGTTTTAAGCAGATGCTGAGTTCTGGATGGCCCAGTGTTCTTTGAGAGAGGGACCTAGTGCACTAATGCTGGGTAGCTGTCCCCACTGAGCAGGGGTCAGCATCTGCAGCCCTTCTCCCCAGCTGGGCTTCTCCCTTCACTGGTGCCTTGACGGGAGGGGCTGGTCTCCTCTGCGACTCTAGGCTACCTCAGTGTCCCCATCCTCGTGACAGACACACTGGCCCCTGGGGTGGTGATGTTCTAGTTCTGTTTTATTTTTCTAACTCTGCTGACCATGAATAAAAGACCGAAACACTAAGGTCTGGCTGAGCACTGCTGGCGGGTAGGTGAGAGGGAGGCGGTGGGAAGGGAGGGGTCTGGATGGGGTGGAGACCCGGAGCTTCCAGCAACCCACAAGGAGGCTGCCACGTGCAGAGCTGGGGCCCCGGGCCTGGGGGGAGTCCTTGGACTTGGAGGCTGGCGCGGCCTGCGCTTCCCACCCCAAGCTGCCTGCAGCCCCCGGTGACTTAGCTCCGATGGAGAGCCCTCCCCTCTGGGCAGGAGGGGGCCGACTCGGGAGGGACCGCAGATTAGGGCCTAGGGGCCCACGTGACCCTCCCCCAGGAATGTGGTGACGTCACCTGGGGCGTGGCCATCCCCAAAATTGGGGAGGAAGGGAAAAAAAAAAAAAAGCCAGAAAAAAGTTTCTTTCCCGGAGTCCCGAAAGAGGTGTGRGACGGAAGAGGAGGGGTCTGGGCCACTGTCCCAGTGCTCTGTGGGGCCCTGATTGCTGTCCGGAGTCCCAGTTCCAGGCCATGTCGGGGCCCACCTGGCTCCCCCCTAGGCAGCCGGAGCCCGCCAGAGCCCCTCAGGGGAGAGTGCTTTCCCGAGGCGCTTCCGGGCCTCCACCAGCCCAAGGAGCAGGTAAGGAGGCTCCCAAAAAGCCACCGGCCACCCACACTCACCTCTGCTYACCAGCCCTTGCCCCTGCCCCGCCTGCTTCCTGCTGTCCCTTCCCCAGGTCAGCTGTGGCCAGCTACCCAGCCCTCCGCGGGTTCCTAGGTGCCCTGGGAGGAGAGAGGTGGAGAGGACGGCCTCCTAGAGGGTGCACCCTCCTTTCCTCCATCCCCACCTCTGGTCTTTCTTCCCTCACTTCAGCACTCCAGCCTCACCCCAGGGTCAATTTTTGCCCCCTCCCATCTGAGCAGTGTTACCAGCCCCCCGGGGGATCAGAGGATCGGGGGCCAACCTGGGTGGGTTCCCATGGAGCATCTCAGCGTTCCCAGGTGAGAACCCGGGTTGGAATGGGGTGTGCAGGGGGACCCCCCCCTGAGCTGAGGGTGAGCAGGACCTAGGGCTAGAGAGAAGACACTGTGACCTGCATTCTCCTTGCTTTAGCTCCATCCCCAGGGGCTCCCCCCAGACAGAGGGGGCCTGCGCCCAGGAAGTCTGGATGCTGAGATAGATTCACTGACCAGCATGCTGGCTGAACTGGACGGAGGTCGGGGCCATACTCCAAGGCGACCAGACCGACAGGTGACTCCCCCATTCCTGTCCCTGCCCCTGCTTCCCAGCCTGCCTCTCAGCACTCTTAGCCCCAATCTGCCCCCCTCTGTGGGTGGCAGTGCTTCCCTGGGGGCCTGCACGTGGCCTGGGCCTTGCTCATGCTTCTGCTCTGCCTCTCTCCCCAGGCTTATGAGCCCTCTCAGCCCCCTGCCTACCGCCCAGGCTCCCTGAAGCCCAATGGAGGGGGTGCTCCACCCCTCCCTCTCCCAGCATCCCCCTATGGAGGCCCCACTCCGGCCTCCTACGCTACCGCCAGCACCCCAGCAGGCCCTGCCTTTCCCGTGCAAGTGAAGGTGGCACAACCTGTGAGAGGCTGCGGCCCGCCCAGGCGGGGGGCCTCTCAGGCCTCTGGGCCCCTCCCAGGCCCCCACTTTCCTCTCCCAGGCCGAAGTGAAGTCTGGGGGGCTGGCTATAGGAGCCACCGCGAGCCAGGGCCAGGGGGTAAGGAGGAGGCTGCTGGGGTCTCTGGCTCTGCAGGAAGAGGACGAGGAGGCGGGCATGGGCCCCAGGTAAGCCTGGGGCATGGGGGTATGGGGGCTTTGTAGACAACTGGACACTGATGTGGGGGTGTGGCTGGGAGCTGTTGAAGGTCTTGGTTTTTGAATAGAATCAGAGGTTAAGGACATCTAGAGGGGAGGGGAGCCGCCCACTGGCTCCTGGGCTGAGATGCTCTCAGAGGCGCTCTCTAGCTGGAATGGCCTGGCTGACCTTGGGCGTGTTTTTAGCATTGGGGACTAGTGGTAGCAGTGAATCCTTCTGATTCCCACCTCCAGGTCCCTCTAAGCCAGCCTCCAGAGGAGGAGTTGGAAAGACTGACTAAGAAGATGGTGCACGACATGAGCCATCCCCCCAGCGGGGAGTACTTTGGTGAGCTCATGGGAACAGGCAAGAGACAGTGGATCTGGCATCCTGGGTCTGTGCAGACTGACTCCATCCCTCCCTGTCCTCAGGTCGATGTGGCGGCTGTGGAGAAGATGTGGTTGGGGATGGGGCTGGGGTTGTGGCCCTCGACCGTATCTTCCACGTTGGCTGCTTTGTATGTTCCGCATGCCGTGCCCAGCTCCGGGGCCAGCATTTCTATGCCGTGGAGAGGAGGGCGTACTGCGAGAGCTGCTATGTGGTAAGCTGCTGGGGTCAGGGGTGCCAGAGTCGGCACATGGGGCATCTATTCAGAGGAACGGGGCTGGACGCTGGAGGACCCCACCTGTTGTGCAAGAAGGAGAGAGGAATTAAATTAAATGGCTGCTGGAGGGGAAGGACAAGGGTCCGTTACACGTGGGAGGCATTTTAGAGTTAAGTGAATATAGGAAATTCCCACAACACCCTGTGGGGCACAGATGATTCCTGATTGGTTCTATAGGAAGTGGAAGCTCAGAGAGGTTAAGTTCCTTGTCTGTGGTGCTGGCATGTGAACTCAGATCTGCTCAAGTCCCCTTTCATTGGATCATATGCAGAGGATACACACAGATGAGTGGCTGGTTGACAGGGTACCTTCCTTGCCGTCATGGCTCTGACATTCCTGTCTTCTTTTCCAACAGGCCACCCTGGAGAAGTGCTCCAAATGCTCCCAGCCCATCCTGGACCGGATCCTGCGGGCTATGGGGAAGGCCTACCACCCTGGCTGTTTCACCTGTGTGGTGTGCCACCGTGGCCTAGATGGCATCCCTTTCACAGTGGATGCCACCAGCCAGATCCACTGCATTGAGGACTTTCACAGGTCAGGCCTGGGCCCAACCCAACCTCAGGATGTCTGACCTTTCCCATCTCTCTTATCTCTGCTTCATGTCCCAGGACTGGCCCTTCCCATTTCCAGCCCCTGGACGTCTCTCCTCTCTTTGACATCACTCTCTTTCTCAAGACTGTGTCTCTGGCCTGTCCTCTTCCTTGCTATACCCTACCTTTTCTGAGCTCATTGTGAAATCCCTACAACCCTGGGGCCTGACAGCTTCCCTGGTTCCCTCACATGCCAGGAAGTTTGCCCCACGATGCTCAGTGTGTGGTGGTGCCATCATGCCTGAGCCAGGTCAGGAGGAGACGGTGAGAATTGTTGCTCTGGATCGAAGTTTTCACATTGGCTGTTACAAGTGTGAGGTGAGGGGGTGTGGGTAAGAGCAAAGGGCTCTCAGGGACAAGTGTGTTTGGGTAGGGTGAAAGGGTCTGAGAGTCTGGGGCTGATGAAAACTTTCTTCTTCCAACAGGAGTGTGGGCTGTTGCTGTCTTCTGAGGGTGAATGTCAGGGCTGTTACCCACTGGACGGGCACATCTTGTGCAAGGCCTGCAGTGCCTGGCGCATCCAGGAGCTCTCAGCCACCGTCACCACTGACTGCTGAGTTTTCCTAGAAGCATCTGCTACAAACTTGGTCCCCATCCATTGCCCTCCCTGACATCTATCTTTACAACTTTGTCACCAAATGCTGTCTCTTCTTTATCCAATCATGAAATAATAATGCCTCAAGAGTTTACAAAACACTTTCAAATCCATTGTCTTTTCTGAGTCCCATAGCAGCCCATTGAGAGCCAGATCCCAGATTGTATGGTTCTCAGCTGGCAGAACCAAGGTCACTTCCTGGGTTTTAGCTTTGGTCTTATCCAGTGTTACCGCTGTTGGCCAGTCCTTGCTTCCCCAATGTTGAAGAATAACACCAAAGAAGCACGCCGAGGCAGGGTCAGAGTAGAAATTAGAAGTTTATTAAAGGACAGCAGAAAAGACTTCTCCCAGAGGAAGAAGGGGACCCAAGAGGTGGAATCCGTGGAAGTGTGGGTTGTCTCCCCTTTTTATAGTTTTGGTGATGGAATGTAGGTGGGACACAGGTAATCTGGGCAGGAAGGACTTCATTAACACTTCTTTGGGATGGGCTATCTCCAAATCTGCTGGGGCTGTTCCCCGGGTTCCATTAACATTTCTTTGGGGTGGACTTTGGCCTAGGGCCTTTCCATGAGTTGTCCTGTTTCTCAGAATCATTATCAGCATGGCCTCCATTTTAGATTTCACTCGATATTATATTAGACCCGATTTACTTAACTACACTGACTACCTAATTTTAAATCTGGCTTCACCAGTTGCAATTCTACTGTAATTTTTTTTGGGGGGTGGTGGTGCTAGGGATGGAACCCAGAGCCTCAAGCATGCYAGGCTGCACCTCCAGTCCCGTACTACATTTTTTAAATTTGTATTTTAAAAATTCTGTGTTTTGTTGTGAAGACACCTCTTCTCAGTACGGTAGAGAGGCTGCTTCAGGGAGGCAGTATTTGCCACACTTGAGCCTCATGGTCCATTCTTTGTGAGGGGACTTGGGTTTTTCCCTGGGGGTGCTGTTGCATGTATTTCGGGACAGGCCAGATCCTGCTTGTTGCTCAGGGGTGTGACCTCCAGCTTCTGTAGTCAAAGTATATTTAGATTTGTCCATTTTGCGGCCGTCTTTGTACAAGGAGAGGAGGAACAACGGGGTTTTGCAGGTGGCGCTTTCTGYGGCACCAATAAAGGCTGGTTCTCTGGTGGGTGCAGAAAATGGTGGGAAGAGATGCTTTAAAATGGTTGCTTCTATCCTCTAGTCCCTAAACGCTTAGGTTCCCTAAGCCCGTGCCCTGCGCGACGAGGGGGTGAAACCACCCCGCCGGGGAGGTCAGGAGGCGCCGGGTGCACAATGTGCACAGAGGGAACCGGCGGGATGCGAACTGACTCTGAGTGCCATGGGGAAACACCACCCTCCTCCTGCGCCCAAGGACGCGCTACCTTCAGGCTCTGAAGGCGGTACCGTTTTCGCGAGACCCAGGTTGATCCAGCTCGGCTCCCGTAGTTCCTTCGCATTCGCGTTCGCGTAGTTCTCGTCGCGGAAGCGCGCGAGACTTCCATGTCTCCGCCCCTTCCCGTCACTCCTTATTTTCCCCTCTTCGCGGCCCTTTGGTTCCAGTTCGGGCCGCGCGTGGCCCGTTTGTGGTCTGGTCAGAGCCCTGCCCGTGACGCAGGCGCAGCGCTAGCGGTGTGCGCGACCGCCCATTCTCTGTGGTCTCCCTCTCCTCCCTTGTTTTCGGCCCCCTGGCTGAGAGCCCTGCGCCTCACTCTCACCCTCTGCGCCTCCCTCGTCGCGCGCCCGTGTCGCCTGGAAGACAAGCCCGCCCTCCCGCGCGACCAACGGCCGCGACCGCTCCCAGGTGGGGGAGGGGAGAGGCGAACTGGGGGTCCGGCTGGTGCGGCCTGAGGCCGGGGACTCTGCCCGCGGGCGACCAGGAGACCCTCGGGGCGAGTGGGAGCCATCCGGGATGGCGGGCCGCGGAAGGCTAGCTTTGGAAGGAGGGAGGCGGGCGTACTGGCCCCGGGGGACCGTCACTCTTCTAGTCCTTGCTCAACTCCCTGCCCCTCCTCCCCGGGCCTTTGGCCCCCTCAGACCGCGCCATGGGTGACAGTGACGACGAATACGATCGAAGGCGCAGGGACAAGTTCAGAAGAGAGCGCAGCGACTACGACCGATCCCGAGAAAGAGACGAAAGGCGGCGAGGAGACGACTGGAATGATCGGTAATTGTGTCCCCTACCTCCCGGGTTTCCTGCCCCGCCCCGCCCTCATTGCCTTTCCCCCTAGTTTAGCTAGGACGGACCCTAGTGAAGTTCGTCGTCGGACCGTTTTCTGTGGTTTAGCTTATTTGCTGTTGCCAAAGAACTAGCCGTGGCTTAATTTTTGAAAAATCCTCAAGATCAAAGCACTAGAACTTTGAGGATGAAAAATATTGTTTACACAGGGATCCCAAAGTGAGAGTTTTTGTTTGTTTGTTTTTATGGCGGGGAGGGTACTGGGGATTGAACTCGGGGTCACTCAACCACTGAGCGACATCCCCAGCCCTGTTTTCAATTTTATTTAGAGTCAGAGTCTTACTGAGTTGCTAATGACCTTTGCTGAGGCTGGCTTTGAACTCATGATCCTCTGCCTCAGCCTCCCAAGCTGCTGGGATCTTGTTTGTAAATTATACCTCAAAAAGATTGGTTCAGAGAAAGGATAATATGGAATTGATTAGATTAGAGAGATTGTAGACCAGTTCTCCTGCAAACCATGCTTAAATTTCTTATAATCCTTTTGCCTAAAATCTTAGAACTCTTTGGGCAGCGCCAATTGGATTAATTGATTAGGTTTGAATGAGCTAAGAGTGGCTCGATTTTGAAGAAAGTTTGAAATGACTTGTGATAGAATTTATTCATTTATTAGAGACAGAGTCTCAATGAGTTGCTAATTGCCTCACCTTTTTTGAGGCTGGTTTTGAACTCATGATCCTCCTGCCTCAGCCTCCCAAGCTGCTGGGATTATGGGCATGCACCATCTTGTCCAGGTTCAGGTGGTGGTTTCTAAGGGGAATATTAAAGATGCTATTCTGAATTGTGAAACTAGATAAGATGTAGTTACTGCTCTTAGAAGCTGTGTGGGGCTGCTTGGCATGGGGGCCAAAATGACCTTGGGTGCATGCTGCAAATGCATATATGTAAGAACATAGGGAAGATGGTAAGTGTTGAGGGAACAGATGTTCCAGGCAGGGGAGTAGTGCTGGAGGTRGGGTGTGAGAGAGAGATGTAGGATAGTGATAATTAACTAGACTTGGAAAGGTGAGTGGGAATTCCTTAGACACTACTAACGGGAACAGGTGGGTGTTGTGTACGTGATGTTTGCAGATCAGCATGGATTCAGGTTTGGTCAGTGTTAGTGGTTCGCAAAATGCCTAAAACCCTAGTCCGTCTGTGAGGCTAAAATTTTGGGTGGGGGGTGGTGGTACTGGGGATTGAACTCAGGAGTGCTTAACCACTGAGCCACATCCACATTTTTTTTTCTTATTTTTGGTACCAGGGATTGAATTCAGGGGCGCTTGACCATTGAGCCACATCCCCAGCTCTTTTTTGTATTTTATTTAGAGACAGGATCTCACTGAGTTGTTTAGTACCTTGCTTTTTGCTGAGGCTGGCTTTGAACTCATGATCCTCCTGCCTCAGCCTCCTGAGCTGCTGGGATTACAAGTGTGCACAACCGTGCCTGGCCCCATTTCTTTTTGGTTCAAGGCGGGGTCTTGCTAAGTTGCTTAGGACCTCACTAAAATGCCGAGTCTGGCTGGGATCTTGGAATTCTCCTGCCTCAGCTTCCTTGGAATTCTCTGGGATTACAGGCATGTGTCACCACAGGAGGCTAAAAATTTTTTTTTTCTAAAGAGAGAGAATTTTTTAATATTTATTTTTTAGTTTTCAGTGGACACAGCATCTTTATTTTAATTTTATGTGGTGCTGAGGATTGAACCCAGTGCCCCGCACATGCCAGGCGAGCGCGATACTGCTTGAGCCACATCACCAGCCTAAAATTGTCTTTATGGTCAACTGAGATAGCATTGTTTTAATTGATGGCTCTCTGGTAATGGTGGGTAAAACTGGGGGTACAACAGCGTTTAAAAAAAACAAAACCAATTTCATTTAATATTCTTGATAAAGGGCTGGGGATGTGGCTCAAGCGGTAGCGCGCTCGCCTGGCATGCGTGCGGCCTGGGTTCGATTCTCAGCACCACATACAAACAAAGATGTTGTGTCTGCCGAAAAATAAAAAATAAATATTTAAAAAAAATATTCTTGATAAAAACAATTACAGATTTTCATTTGATGACTTGAATATGTGTACATCTTTTCAGTACCTATGATGAAATGAGAAATATTCATAAACCATTTTGAATATAGAAAGACTGTGGTTTTCTTGAGCAAGAGCAGTTGTGTGAGTTGAACTGAACTGAACTTTTTCTATTTGATGCCATTTTATTTGAATGGTTTTCAGTGTTGGTTCATATTTGGTAATTTGTCCTGACAGTTTGGGAAAGTGAATTAAGAGACCCTGTTACTTTGAAAAAAGTTGTCAGAATTTGTTGCCAATGATGACATAGATCTTTCTAGTAAAAAATTAATATTTTCGAATACTTGTATGTGCCAATGTGAGCTTGACAGCTTCTCAGTACTTAGACTTTTCTGATCAGATAAGTAATATACTAAGGAGTATGATATTTTGATATTGTATTAAGAGACATGTCAAGAGCAAGGTAAAACATGGGGTAAAATGAATGTAGCAGAGAATAGAATGTTCACTGGTCGTAGGTTGAACATTCTAACTACCCTTAAAGAAAACTGAGGCAGAGCTGGAAATGATGGTGCATGCCTGTAATCCTTGCAACAATGAAAGCTAAGGCAGGAAAATCACAAGTTTAGGACCAGACGCAGCAACTTAGCAAAACCCTGTCTCAAAAAATAAAAAGACTAAATAATGACCAACAAATTAAATGCAGAAGCTATCTTCTCTTAAGCCATATCTTGAAGAGATTTGTAAACATGTAAAAACAATGGCACTTTTTTTTTTAAATGGTAGTTTTTCATAAAAACATGAAATTTATCTTTATAACTTATATTTATATTCCTAAGTATTAAATTGTCTTAACTTTAAATGTAGAGGGTGTTGATAGACACAACACACATAAGCAAAACCTCTTTGTTATCTTAAGTAATTTGTAAGAGTAGGGCTCAGGGTACAGCTCAGTGAGAGTGCTGGCTTATTATGTGTGAGGCCCAGGGTTCCATCTCCAGAACCATCAAATAAAATAAAAATAAAATTCCCCCTAAGCATATAAAGTGGGTCTCAAGAGCAAAGATTTTTTTKTTGTTGTTGTTGTTGTTGTTGAGATTGGGAATCATAAAAAACTAAAGGTGGAAAGTTCTTTCTGATATGCAGATGTTTACACACAATAAGGAAGAAGAAGGGAAGAATAGAAATTTATTACATTAGAAAAAGGGAATGAAGGGAAGGGAAGGGAAGAGGGATGAGAATAGGAAAGACTGTAGAATGAATTGGACATCACTTTCCTGTGTTCATATATGAATACTTGACCAGTGTAACTCCACATCTTGTACAACCACAAGAATGGGAAGTTATACTCCATGTATGTTTAATGTACCAGAATAATTTCTACTGCCATGTATAACTAAAAAGAACAAACAAACAAAAAAAGATGGGGTTGGGAACCAGACATAGTGGCACAGGCCTGTAATCCCATAGATTGGGGAGGCTGAGGCTGGAGGATCACAAGTTCAAGGCCAGCCTCAGCAATTTAGGGAGGCTCCGGCTAAAAATAAAAAGGCTTAGATTCAATCCCTAGTGTCTCTCCTGCCCCCCCCCCACACACACACACAAAAAAGATGAGATTGGAAGTGGCTGGTTACCAGTGGGGAGATTGGAGTGACAGGCAGGAAAGCCAGAGTTTTGAAGAGGGTTATTTAGTGGCATTTAAGCAAGGGGGACATGGTGTAATCAGGTTTGTGTTTGGGAAGGATTACTTTGACAGAGAGAAGGGGAGAACGTAGAACAGGTAACCAGTGCTGGAGAAAGGACAGGGACAAGGACTCAGGGCCAAGGCTGGGGATGGCGGAGAAACAATAACATCAATGGTGAGGATAATGCTTGATAACTGTGTAGCTGGTAATTTTTTCTGAGACAGTAGGTGGTAGGGAGCAGGAAACAAGTTTGGGCCCATAATGGTGGGAACCACAGGCTCAGTTCTGACAAGCTAATTCGAGGTGACCAAAAAATATATAGGATTTTTTTTCTTTGTGGTGCCAGGGCTAGAAGCCAGGGCCTGGGCACACTGGGCATGCTCTCTACCACTGAGCCGTGCCCTCACCCACCAGTGGGGAAAGTTCAGTGGGCTGGGGTGGGGGAGGCCACAGTGATGGAAGGAGGTGAGTCTTTGTGTTTAGAGAGTCATTTCATGGTTTTTGGCGTTTTGTGTCAGGATAGGAAGGGCCTGCCCAGGATGGTGGCCTCGGCCTGTTCAGCTGTGTCTTTCATTGTCATTACTCCTTTTGTTTCTTCTGTACAGGGAGTGGGACCGGGGCCGGGAACGCCGCAGTCGGGGTGAATATCGAGACTATGACCGGAATCGTCGGGAGCGCTTCTCTCCTCCGCGCCATGAGCTCAGCCCCCCACAGAAGCGCCTGAGGCGAGACTGGTGAGTTGGCTTCAGCTTCTCTTCTTCAGTGTTGGTTCCGGGGCCTCGGCTCCCTTCCCTTGCCTCTGCAGAAAGCTGCTCGTTTTCTTCTCTCAGACTCATATGACCATTGTTTCTTAGTCCTTTAAACTCTTGGGTGGGAGACGTGTTCTGTGTTCTGTGCGTGCCCCTCCCTCTGGCCCTCCTCTGTGTTCTGGAAAGATGATTCTGGTTCTTTGTCTGATTTTTGTGTCCCCTACCCTCAGGGATGAGCACAGCTCTGACCCATACCACAGTGGCTATGACATGCCCTATGCTGGGGGTGGTGGGGGCCCAACTTATGGCCCTCCTCAGCCCTGGGGCCACCCAGATGTACACATCATGCAGCACCACGTACTGCCTATCCAGGCCAGGTAAAGACGTGGGGTTCTGGGAAGAAGGCTTGGGGAACAGTTTGGGCTGCTGGAGCCGGGGAGTAAGCTAGGGAGCAGGGCTGCCTGTGGGTGGTAGCACTTGGTGCTGGGGGTGGTGGGCCAGGCAGGCGAGCAGCTGGCTACCTTGGTGCCCCTATTCCCCCACCTCTTCTCCCACAATCAAGACTTCCTGTCCACCCCAGGCTGGGCAGCATCGCTGAGATTGACCTAGGTGTGCCGCCACCGGTGATGAAGACCTTCAAAGAGTTCCTCCTATCGCTGGATGACTCTGTGGATGAGACCGAGGCTGTCAAACGCTATAATGACTACAAACTGGATTTTCGCAGGCAGCAGATGCAGGATTTTTTCCTGGCTCATAAAGATGAGGAGTGGTAAGTGCCCCTCCTTCCCTGCCACCTTTCCCTGGCATGTTTCCCCTGGCCCTGCCAGTGGGGCTGCAGCCCTCTCCTACTCCCATTCCCCAACCTGGAATTTCCTGGGGGTGGGGGAGGGAAGTATAACAGCATTGGCTGATGGGGTCTCCTCCTTACTTTGACTGCCAAAGCCCCCTCCCATGCTCCCCCAATCTCCCTTCTCCACTGTCCTCACCTGGGACACCTCCAGGCAGCTGGCCAGAGCCACCTGGCTCCTGGGGGCAGCAGATTGCTTCCCACTTTCTGGTATTGGGTCATTGTCATCCCTGATCACCAGGACCCAACGTGGCTGTGGCATCCTCCCAAAAGCGACGAGTGACTCCAGACAAGAAAAGCAAAGATCTCAGGGTCATTTGACAGAAAAAGAATTTTAATTTTTTTTCCTTTTGTGGATGTTTTAATTTTAATCAACCATCTTTTCCCCCCTTCCTGCTCCTCCTCCTCCTCATCCTCTTTCTGCTCCTCCTCCTTGAAAAGAGCCAGAACTGGGAACTACACCCGCTCATCGACGGAGCTCGGAGCAAACCCACCTCCACCCCCACCATACCCAGCCCATACATGAGCCCCTGGGCTGAGCCGCGCTGCCCCGGCCAGGCAGACAGGCAGGGCACTGCTGTGCACAATGCAGCATTTAGCTGAATGTGATTGCTCAGGCAGTTAGTCAGTCAGGGCCCCCACCGCGGAGTCCCGCGGGGGTGGGGCATCTGGGCCGGGCGCCCCAGCCAGGAGCCAGCCGGTGGCCCACCAGCCAGCATGGGCCCTGGGCGCCACTAGTTAAATCTTGAGCTCTGTTTGACCAAGCAGCCAAGGTAAAGATCCTGGAGATGACGCCTGCGGCTTTCCTTTCCTCTCTGCTCAACTGTGGTTCTGTTCTGTCCTCACCTTGCCTTCTTCCTGACTACCCTGTGTGTCTTGTCTTGATCTCACACACCTCTCATTCTTTCTCTGTCCCTGTTCTTGCTTTCTGCCTAACACTTCCTTCTTCTGGTTTTTTCATTTTGTCTAATGCTTAGTTTTTTCCTTGGTTTTCAATTTCTGGGCCTTTCTCACTCTTCCTCCTTCCTTTCTCTTTTTTCTCATATTCCTAATTTCTTCTGTTTTTTCCTCCCCAAGGTCCTATTGAAATGTTTTATTTTCATGCCCCACCCTAACCCTCCAGCACTCCTTTTTCTATCCTGGGGGCAGTTCCTGAGGCTGTGTGGGCACTTGGTTCTCCCTTTGGTCTTTTCCTGTCCCTTCACCATCTTGCTTATCTTCCCAAGGGGGGAGAAAATGGCCTGCCTTTTGGCTTTTGCTATCCAGTGCACTTCAGGTTTCCTCTGTCTTCCACCGAGGGGTGGAGGGAATTGGTGGGCACCTTTCTCATAATGACTGTAGTCTGGGGTCAGCAACAAGAGGGAGGTTCTTTGGGGTCTGCAGTTACTGTAGCCCTCCTCTCTGGAGCTTGGGAAACTACTCCTGTTTAAGTTAGTGTTTCCCAAAGACTTGAAGCTGTAAATCTGCCTCTCCAACCCTGGCCTCCCCCTGTAGTTGTTGGTCTTTGCAAATCCAGAGCTCTTAGTTCCTGGTTGTTCCCCAGGTGTTTGCAGAGCATAACCTCTGGTTCCTTTTGGGGTGTTGGGTGGTTCTAGTGCACCTCTGTCCCATAATCTCTCTGTTTTTATGACCTTTTATGGGTGTGAGGATGGGGGCTATGCCCTGACTTTCCTGGGCCCCGCCCCACAGACTGGCCCTGGCTTCTGGTGACTATTTTGTCTTTTCCCTCCCCGCTTTCTTCTTAGGTTTCGGTCTAAGTACCACCCAGATGAGGTGGGGAAGCGTAGGCAGGAGGCCCGGGGGGCCCTGCAAAACCGACTGAGGGTATTCCTGTCGCTTATGGAGAGTGGCTGGTTTGATAATCTCCTCCTGGACATAGACCGAGCTGACGCCATTGTCAAGATGCTGGATGCTGGTGTGTGGACTTGGCTCATAGGGTGGAGGCTGTTTGGTTGGGATCTGGGTTAGGAAACAGAAGGAGATTGATAGCAGCCAGGGCCCTTGGATTGTGACTTCTGCCTTTGTTGGTAGCTGTGATTAAGATGGAAGGGGGCACAGAGAATGATCTACGMATCCTGGAGCAGGAGGAGGAGGAGGAGCAGGCAGGAAAGCCTGGGGAGCCCAACAAGAAAGAGGAGGGCCGGGCTGGACCAGGCCTGGGGGATGGAGAGCGCAAGGCCAGCGATAAGGATGACAAGAAAGAAGAGGGCAAACAGGTTAGTGTGTGGCCTCCAGAGGAGCTGGCAGTAGGGCTGTGCATTGGCTGCGGTGGAAGGGGGGACCTCTAGACTTGGCTGTGGAGGGTGAGAAGGGCTCTGAAGCAGGTGAAGGGGAGATAGGACTTTCCAGGAATCTCTACCTGTAGGCTGAAAACGATAGTTCCAATGACGATAAAACTAAGAAGTCCGAGGGCGATGGGGACAAGGAAGAGAAGAAGGAAGACTCTGAGAAGGAAGCCAAAAAGGTGGGGTGTCTTTCATGGGGGCAGCTGGTGAGGACTGTGGTCAGGGCTGTCTTGACTTGACCCTGTTGCCATGGCTCCCACAGAGTAGTAAGAAACGGAACAGGAAACACAGCGGTGATGACAGCTTTGACGAAGGCAGTGTGTCRGAGTCGGAGTCTGAGTCTGAGAGTGGCCATGCTGAGGAGGAGAAGGAAGAGGCTGGTAGGTCTTACTTTCTGCGTCTAGTCCTCCTCCTGCATGGGCCTCTGTGGGGCAGGGGGCTGATGAAATTGAGGGGAGGTGTTAGGTGGGGACAGTGACTGTGGTTGGGGGTGGTAAAAAGCTCTTCTATCTGCTGCATTCTCACCCCCTCGCGTGTAGAAGAAGCACTAAAGGAGAAGGAGAAGCCCAAAGAGGAGGACAGGGAGAAGCCCAAGGACGCTGCTGGGCTGGAGTGCAAGCCCCGGCCCCTTCATAAGACCTGTTCCCTCTTCATGCGCAACATCGCGCCCAACATCTCCCGGGCGGAGATCATCTCTGTGAGTGGGGAAGCTGGTATTAGCGCAGGGCTGGCCCCAGGTTCAGGTCCTCGGGGTAGCGGTGGAAACAGGAGGTCTGGTGCTGCTGTGGTTGCCTTTGATAAGGGAGGCCCCTGCCTCTTGCGCTGTGGCACTCAGGTGGTGGTGTTYTTGAACTCTTGGCTGGTTTTTCCTTGCCTGAGGATGGGAGGGGTTAAAAGGCACTTCCCCAGGGTTCTGAGTGGGGATTGGAGGAAGAGGTGAGTTCTGAATCATTAAATGGGGTCTGTTACTTTGCTTCCTGCAGCTTTGTAAACGGTACCCAGGCTTTATGCGTGTAGCACTGTCGGAGCCTCAACCCGAGAGGAGGTGAGGAACTGGACCCCTTGGAGAGAAGATGCAGGGGCGAGGTTAATGGCTAGCACTTCTCCATTCCATGACCCTGCTGATGTTCGTTCTTGTGTAGGTTTTTCCGTCGTGGCTGGGTGACCTTTGACCGCAGCGTTAATATTAAAGAGATCTGTTGGAACCTGCAGAATATCCGAGTGAGTTCTAGGAGTGGGGCTTATCGGAGGATGGGACTGTGGCTCTCTGTGCCCACGTGACCTGACTCCCTTGTGTGTTCAGTCTGCTCGTTTTACTTACTTCTGTTCCTGGATGAGCTCTGAGGACAAGACAGACACTTTTTGGTCCCTGTCCTCAGGGAGCTCACAGTCTAATCACTGATATTCGCAATGGGGGTCAGTCTCTGAGTTGCTGCTTCTGGGACAGTAGGCCAGCTTTCTGATTTTGTGTTCTTTCTAGCTCCGGGAATGTGAACTGAGCCCYGGTGTGAACAGAGACCTGACTCGTCGTGTCCGCAACATCAATGGCATTACACAGCACAAACAGATAGTGCGCAATGACATCAAGCTGGCAGCCAAGCTGATCCATACGCTGGATGACAGGACTCAGCTCTGGGCCTCTGAGCCTGGGACACCTCCTCTGCCAACAGTCAGTGGCCCAAGAAGCTGTTTCCAAAGCAGCTGATACCACCTCATTCTCCTGATACTTGATCTCCCCTAATCTGTAGCAGTGATCCCTTGGGCCCACCCACATCCTCACTTAATTGCCCCTTTCTGCCCCTGGGAAACATGTCCAACTTCCAGCAGGACAGACTGATGGCGTTGTTTGTGGACTAGGGCAGGACAAGTATAAAAATAAGAAAAGTGTTAGGAGGCGGAGGTCAGAATTTATCCAGGGAGCTCTGAACTCCTTTCCCTTCCACGGTGCCTTCCATTGCTGGCAGTCCCTGGGCTCCCTGCGCTAAGGTTTGCTCTTTACTTCTCTGGCTCCCTCCCAACCAGAGTCTGCCTTCGCAAAACCCAATATTGAAGAATATCACTGACTACCTGATTGAGGAAGTGAGTGCTGAGGAAGAGGAGCTGCTGGGGAGCAGTGGAGGGGCCCCCCCAGAGGAGCCGCCTAAGGAAGGGAACCCAGCAGAGATCAACGTGGAACGAGATGAGAAACTGATCAAGGTGCCAGCTATAACTGTGGGGTATGCAGGGTGGCTCATCAGTGAAGGGGTGGAAGTGGTGACCAGTGGCTTTCTTTTGCCCATAGGTGTTGGACAAGCTCCTTCTCTATTTGCGCATCGTACATTCCTTGGATTATTACAACACCTGCGAGTACCCCAACGAGGACGAGATGCCCAATCGTTGTGGCATCATCCATGTTCGGGGGCCCATGCCTCCCAATCGAATCAGTCATGGAGAAGGTACGCTCCAGCGCCCCATTCCGTTTCCCATTTTCTCCCCAGTGGCCTCTGCTCCCCTCCTTTCCTGTCCCTTGCTTCCAGCTCCTGTCTCCAGAATAACTATCTCTGGTCCCAACCACAGTGTTGGAGTGGCAGAAGACCTTTGAGGAGAAGCTGACTCCACTACTCAGTGTGCGGGAATCCCTCTCAGAGGAAGAGGCTCAGAAGATGGGTCGCAAGGACCCTGAGCAAGAAGTGGAAAAGTTTGTCACCTCGAACACCCAGGAACTGGGCAAGGATAAGTGGCTGTGTCCTCTCAGTGGCAAGAAGTTTAAGGTCTGGGATGTTAGAGAATTAGTGGGGTAGAATGTTGGGAGGAGAGGGTCACAGGAAGGCCCCCAAAGGCCCTGGAAGGAAATAGTCATTGGCCTAGCAGGAGGGAGGCTGTTGGCCTTCCAGGTTGGGTCTGGRAATGAGGGAACCCATATCACTTGCTCTGTCCTGACCCTCTCCTCTCCACCCAGGGCCCTGAATTTGTTCGCAAACATATCTTCAACAAGCATGCAGAGAAGATTGAGGAAGTAAAGAAAGAGGTGGCATTTTTTAACAACTTTCTCACGGATGCTAAGCGCCCGGCTCTGCCTGAAATTAAGCCAGCTCAGCCACCTGGCCCTGCCCAGAGTAAGATACGATCCATGGGGGGTCTTGCATCTCCCCTTTGCCTGTCCATGGATTCCTGTCACCCCGCCCCCCCCCCAGAAGTGTCTACCCCACCCTCAAGCCTATTTCTAGAAGTCATTTGTTCTTGCATTCCCCTCTCCCCGCAGTAATTCATGTCCCTTTCCGTGTTGTACTCCCCCCAGGCTTGACCCCGGGACTCCCCTACCCACACCAGACTCCCCAGGGCCTGATGCCCTATGGTCAGCCCCGGCCGCCCATCTTGGGCTATGGAGGTGAGTGTGGGAGGGAGCTGAAGGGGTGTAGTGGTTGCACGTAGCTGGGAGGAAGAAAATTGAAGCCCTGGCTGAGGTCAGGGTTTTCAATTCAACACTGATCTTTCTCACAGCGGGTGCTGTCCGCCCTGCAGTCCCCACAGGAGGGCCTCCTTACCCGCATGCCCCATATGGTGCCGGCCGAGGGAACTATGATGCTTTTCGAGGCCAGGGTGGTTATCCTGGGAAACCTCGAAACAGGTGAGACTGAGCTCAGATGTCCAAGTTTTCTTGCCTCCTTCAAAACTTGGGGACCTTCAATTCTTATCCTGCTTCCCCTCTTATCTTACAGGATGGTTCGTGGAGACCCAAGGGCCATTGTGGAATATCGTGATCTGGATGCCCCCGATGATGTTGATTTCTTTTGAGCTGTGTCCCCTGTCCCCCATTCCTATCATCTGTAATTGTGATTGCCCTGTCCCATCAGCTGAGAATTTTTTTTGTACGTTCAGACATACTGCCAATAAAAGCACTTCAGTAGTGACTTGTAACTCAGCGAATGTTATACAACTTTCCAAATCATCCCAGACACTAGCAGGGGCTGAGGTTAGCTGGGCCTTGCCACTTTATTTTTGATGCTGACAGTCCCACTCTGCTGGGACACCTCTGGGAAGTAAATAAGAGCACATGTATGTAATCAGTCTCAGTCCAGGGTGTGCTGATTCTTGTCAGAGTTAGGTCTGGTCAGGCACAGGTTGTAGAAGGAGTTGGGGTCAAAGGCTGTGCTTACCTCTTGCCAGCCAACCCGCCTGGCAGCCTGTAGTTCACTAGGGTGTTTTGGAGTGCCCCAGTAGTGAGGGTCCAGTATCAGGACATAGGCTTCGGTGCCTGGGCCCAGGCAGACTCCCAGCAGGGCCTTGGACTGGGCATCCACATCCCCTCCCACCATCACTGGGCCGCCGCCTGAAGTGAAGTGTGAGTAAAGCYTCTCCAGCTCCCCTTGAAGCCCTGCTCCACGGGGCACATGGCACAGGCGCCCCTGGGGCCCTCCGAAGTGTGCGAGGCAGAGGCTGGCTTCTACGCAGCCGATCCAGCTCTGGGAGCCCCGGAACCCTGGGGGCTTGTCGCCCATGTCCTCCAGGGCCGCCTGCATGGCGACCAATCCAGGTACACCTGTAGACTGGCCCTCTGGCCACGAGCACAGCGTTTGCAGAGTACGGTAGCCACAGCCCCAGCCCCGGTCGTCCAGCCCGTCGCAACCATAGTGATAGTAGAGGTAGTGGCCCGACAGGAGGGCCAGGCGAGCGGCGCCTCGGCAAGGCGGGGCTAGGCCCAGGTGGACGTCCTTCAGCGGCGCCAGGGCGGCCAGATGCGTCTTTTCAGCGGCGCAGGGAGAACTCCGGGTTCCAATGCTTTCTCAGCCTCAGATGCTGGGCTAGCTGCAGGCAGGACAGGCCCCAGAGATGTGCGCGGGGACGGAATCCAAGCCACCAGGCGACCCAGACCCACAGACTCCCACCATGCACTGGTGCTCCGATCCGCCAGTCTCACTGCGCAGGCGCGAGATTCGGCGGGACGGGGCCCTAAGCGCAGGCGCCGTGGGCAGCGCTACGGAGATGGCGAGTTAGGCGTCTTCCAGCCCCCCACTCCTCTACCAAGTCGGCCCCGGTGATCCTGGCGTTCTGCCCAGACCTCGGCTCCCCAATCTCGCAAATTCCGGTGGCTGTAACAGTTTATTGGCAGCCCAGAGGGGCGAAGGCACCGCGGGGGAGGGAGCTCGGCCCGAGACATGCAGAGGAGGGGGAACCCCGGGGGGATTCGGGGTCGGGTGGGCAGGGACTGGGGCTGGTCTGTTATATCCCAGCCCTTTAATAAATAATATATACAGCGAGGGGGCCGGGCGAGGCGGAGGGACGTGGGGTCTCGCCGGAGTCACAGGTCTGAGCAGCGATCCTGCTTGCTGTAATGGTCGAACTGGTTCTTCCAGTGCACCATGTAGGAGCTCCAGAGGTGGAACTCGGCCTTCCACTGGCGCTCTGCTTCGTCCAGCGTGTCTGCGGCCAGGGCACCCGGCAAGTGGTGGGAGGACGACAACATCGAGAAGATTGGGGAACAGACATGGAGGAGGGGCGTGAGCGCAGGGCGGGGGGTGGGCACGGGGAATGTAGGAGGCGGGGGGGGGGGGGGGGGGAACGGGGAATGTAGGAGGCCACGTGGGATGGTGGAAAGACGATCAGGAAAGACAGTAGAGGGAGGATGAAGGTGGAGGCGGGGCCAGAGGAATATGGTAGAAAGGAGAGGAGGAGGAAACGACCACAAGACCGGAGGGACACACAGGATCAGAGTGGGGAGGATCCATGGGTTGGTGGGGAAGAGAGGAGAGACAGAAATGGTTGACGGTTATAGCCCCGCTGGAGGGGGTGGGGGTGTTATCCAACCCCGGGTCTTCCCTCTGCCCCCACATCAGGCTCAAGCTCCAAAGGATAATTATATATATATATATATGACTTTTTCATTTCCACGTAAACAAAGGCGTGTGGGTCCCTGAGACTTTCCAGTTTGTGTCTCTCGGTTTGAGGAGGGAGGGGGCGCTGGGTCCCTGAGAAGGGTCTTTCCCCGCGGTCCGACCATGCATAAGAGGAGGGGCCCCCCATGGCCGGAGGGGGAAGAGGCCGTGGTCACAGCCGCTGAAGCCGGGAGAGGTGGAGGTGGAGGAGGAGGAGGGACAGGGAGAGGCCGGGCCTGGGCCTCGGGGCAGCCTCCCCATGGGCGGGGCCTGGGCAGGTGCAGGGAGCCTCCGAGGCTGGGGGGAGAAGAAAGGGGTTATACCCAGCAGGCTCCCACTCCCTTCTCTTTGCGACCCCTTTCTCTCCCTTGTTCCCAGCCCCTGCCCGCTGGCCCCTGCGTACCAGTGGCGCTGAGCAATTTGGGTAGAAATCGGTTCCAGAAGGCGCAGGCCTGGGCGCGCAGTCCCCGCCGCACCTCCAGCGGCCGCAGATTGAGGCTCACGTACTGCTGCGCACCTGCAGTGTATGGTGGCCACTGCGGGCCCTTGGTGTTGCGCGGGTCATTGGGGTCCCTGCGGAAGGAAAGGGAAGGCTCAGTCCCATTCAGGCTTGTGGCTCCCAGATGAGGAACGAAGATGGGGACGGCGCGGGAAGCATTCCCTTACTGACCCTGGGCTCTCTTTAACCTCTTGGGGGCCACCATTCCTCCCTTCCACCCCAGCTCCAACCCTTTCTTTTCCTTCTCCAGTGTCCCCCGTCATTTAGGAGTCAACCCTTTCCTCCTGCATTTCGTCTCTTTTGTACCTTTCCCTCAGTTTTTCTGCTCTTTGTCTTTTCCCATTTAAAAAAAAAAAATGCTAGGATTTATTGAGCCCTTATTGTGTAACCAGATGCTGTCCTGTCTCTACAAACATCACCTTGGCTTTGATGCCAGATTTGTTGCCCTCTTCTTAAGACAAACTGGTGTTTGTGYGCGCACGATGTGTGTGAGTGTATGTGTGTGTGAAAGAGAGGGAGAGGGAGAAAATCACTGTTGGTCCAATTTAATCCAGCTCTACATTCCACTCCTAACTCTCCTAACTCCTTTGTCTTGGCCTTGATCATCTACCTCTTGTCTTGCCTTCCTCTGAAGGAGGCCCCATCCTGCCTGCCTTCTCTAGGTCTTCTTTGTCTTCTCCACTCTTCCCCTTTGTCTCATTTCCTTTGTGAAAGTTTGCTCTCCTCTCYTGCCTTTCCTCTATGTGCTCCCTCTGTTCCCCTAGCCCCCAGAGACCCTCCCTTTCCCAGCGCTGCTGACCCTGTGCGGGCAAAGTTGGTCCAGTATCTCATCAACCGCTGGGCAAAGATTCTTTCCTGGACAGTGTAGTTCAGTGAGGGGTCCAGGGGAAGCCCAAAGATGAACTCAATCTCGTAGCCATGGGGCACCCCCATCCAGAGGGGCCAGGAGAGCGTGGAGGCACGGTGTTCAAAGATGTAGGCATAGACTCGGGCCCCCTGGGCTGCCAGTCGCCCAGCTAGCTGAGCCGCAGGGCACACGACATTGTGGTCACCCACCACGGCACTCATGGCTTCCCTCAGGCGCTCCGGGTCCTCAGGGTGCAGCCAGTCTGTGTAATGCAGGACCACAGCCTCGGCCGCCAGGTCACTCACCTGGGGGACCCCGACCCGCACCCCAGCCAGGAACTGGGCCCGACTGATGAGAGATTCGTTGTCTTTGCTGAAGCCTGGGACCCCATAAACCAGAAAATAGGAGCCCTCATCCTTCACCACACCCACCAGCACCTGGGGGTGGAGGACAGGATGGAGGGAAGGGGCACAGACAGACAGGTGGAAAGAAACAGACAAACAAAGAGCCAGAGAGATGAACAGTTATAGACCCAGAACCACGGAGGTMGAGTGAGATTGGGGAAGGGACTGAGAAAAAAAGGAAATGCACCCACAGTTCCTGTCCTCTCCACCCTGCTGACCACCCTTGGATCTGAGCCCTCAGGGGGAGGGGATGGCCACGGCCCSGGAAGCCTGGACCTCTGAGACTGGGTCTGGAGGAGCCCACATCCCCAGCTCCCTGGGGGGCAGGGAAGGGGCAGGGTGGGTGAGACCCAGAGGAACCCAGTCCACCCCTGACAGCCACTAGTCACCTGCAGGCCGTGGAAATCTCCAGCATTGATGAGGGCCTCAGGCGTGTCACTGAGGAAGTCTCCGTCCACCACAGGCACGAAGGAAAAGCGGAAGATACTTTCCGTGGGCAGCACGTGCCACTCGTGGTCTACCAGGTCTTGAGCTGGCCGTGTCCGCAGGCAGGCTACTAGCTCTGTGTCATTGCCACCAGAACCCCCCGGGGGACAGCCAACGAGGCGGGCCAGCAGTGTGGCCCTGCGGCGGGCCTCCCCCATGCCCACAGTGGCCCAGGGTCCATTGGGTGCACCGCTCTGCAGCACAGCCCTATGGAAGAGGCTCCTGCTGGGTGGGGACAGCAGGTGCATGCCCACTGAGGCGGCGCCTGCACTCTCCCCAAACAGAGTCACCGACGTTGGGTCACCCCCAAAGGCTGCCACATTSTCTTGCACCCACTGCAGTGCTAGCCTCTGATCCAGCAGACCCACGTTGCCTGGGGCCTCTCGGCTCCCTGGCAGAGCTAAGAAGCCAAAGGCTCCCACTCGGTAGTTCATGGACACCAGCACAGTCCCCTCAACCTGTGCCAGAAAGCGGCCATCATACACGTCCAAGGAGGAAGCCCCACTGTAGAAGCCACCACCATAGATCCAGACAAGGACAGGGGTGGGGGATGCAGGCCGGGGGTATGGTGTCCACACGTTGAGGTAGAGGCAGTCCTCGCTTAGCTCACGGTTGGGGTTCCACATCTCGGAGCCCTCAAATCCAGGGTACAGGGTGTCCACATATTGGTAGCAGACACTCTGGAAGGTCGTAGCGTCCAGCACCCCTGTCCAGGGCCGCTTGGGCTCCGGTGGTAGAAAGCGGCGGGGCCCCACAGGTGGCTCGGCAAAGGGGATGCCCAGGAAAGCAGAGACGGGGCCCCCAGGGGCCTTTAGGCGGATGCCCCGCAGCCGACCCCCACGGACAGTTACCAGCAGTTCTGGGTCCTCTCGGCCCTCAGCCCCGGCCCCTCCTCCCAGGAGAGAGAGGAGGAGGAAAAGGAGTGGGGAAGCTAGGGAGGGCGTGTGCAGGGGACACCACGGGGGCCTCATGGCTGCCAGGGCAGGCGGTMGTCTGCTGGGAGAAAGAAAGGCAAAGGGTAAAGGCTGCAGGCCGCCAGGAGGGAGGAGATTAGGTAACAATCTTGCCCAAGGATTATCTCTTTGCTGCAGAGGAGGTGGGGCAGGTTGGCAAGAGGAGGAGAAAAATAAAGGGAGGGAAGAAGACAGGCAGAGACAAGGACATAGACAGGCAAGAGGGGACAGAGCAGGCAGACACACACACACCCAGACAAATGCAGGTAACAGAGAGAAGATCTGCCAATGCATACCCTCCAGGGCCCCGTGGAGCCCACCGCCCTCACCTTCCTCTGGCTCTGTGGCTTGGGCTGGGCAGGGTGCTTGCAACGCGGGCACCAGAGGCCGCAGTCCACGCACAGGCCACAGGACAGGGGCGGGGCCCTCACTGACGGGCGGTTCCAGCTGGGGGAACTTGCGCGGCCTAAAGGCACAGCCCTAGTCTCTCCTGGGTTGGCCAGCGCCTTGGCCCTAGGGGAAGTGGTTTGGACATTCAAGATGTGGGAGTTCCAGATCCTGGAGCACCCCAAATCCTGCCTACTCCACATCCTGCCCTACCCTGCCTCGCCCCATCTGCTGTCTGGCATCGCGCGCTGGTACCCGTTGGTTCCCATCAGCAAAACCCCGCCTTGCCTACTCCCAGCGAACAGGYTCGTAGGCCCTGGACCCCAGAATGCGAGACCCTATCCGCCCGGCGTTGCAGTACACGCTGTTGCCGGCGGGGGGCAGTAGAGACCGAGAAGAGGACTGCGCTCTCCGCCCCGAGCCCGGGAGCCGGGAACTTGGGGTGGGGGCCTGGGAGCTCGCGGGTATCACACAGGGGCCTGAAGGGCGAGCCGGGACGCCTGTGTTCCCGGAGCTCCGGAGATCCCCGGCCGCAAGGGCGGGGGCGCTATTTTGGGGTAGCAGCTGCTGCRATTCCGGCATCTCCAGCCAAGGGATCAAAATTCCCCGGGTCGGAACTCCCCCCTCTTCGSCCGTCACCCCTCATCCAGCCCTGTCTCCCTGAGCTGGGGGTTGGTGGTGGTGTTGGAGATTAACTAGGAAACCCGAGTGGGGCTAATTATAACTCGGGGCTTCCGCTGAGCGTCCCCTTCCCCCAAAATAGAGACGGAGTCTCCGCGGGAGGGGGTCCCAGGCCTCGGAGGGGGCCTGGGCTGGGCTCTGCGCAGGGACTCTGGGGTCGCTCCACTCTGGGTACAGGGGCATCCAGGAGGGCGCCAGGAACCTGCGCAGTTTGGRGTCCGCCCCAAACAGGGGTCATCTTCTAGTGGTCTCAGACTTGGGGCTAGCGGGGAAGGGGCGCTCGGGGGTCCCGCAGGAATTCTAACCTCTGGAGAGGCAGCGGACGGCCCAGCGGGCTTCGGTAAGTGTGCGGCGGCGAGGGAAGAGTTACCCAGGAGTGCGGGGCGGCGGGGGACGCCGCTGGGCAGGCCCGGGGGCGCGGTGGGCGCCAGGTTTGGAGGCCTAGATCGCTCCGGTGGCGCACGGTCCCCGGCACGCCGAGTGGCCGCCGGCTGGGGGAGGGTCCCGGGAGGGGCGGGAGACTCACCTGAGGCGGCCGAGCCGGGCCAGGCCGCGCCGGGAGCAGGAGGCGGCCGATGTTCCCCGGCGCAGGCTGAGCCGACTCTGGCAGCCGCCGCCTCCGGCCCCCCGCACACACCCCTCTGGGCCGCACAGCGCCCCCGCCCGCCCCCGCCCCCGCCCACTGTCTCCGCCCCCGCCCCTCCCCKCTGCCCTGGGCTGCCACCTCCCCTCCTTCTCCCTCCCTCTGAGCCAAGACCCGTGGACCCGGGGGGCCCAGACGCACTCCAGAGAGAGTCGCCCACAGACGGACAGACACGCCGTGACAGGCGCGACCTGAAGACCCGCAGCGGCGGAGCAGACACCCACGTGACAAACAGACGGACAGAAGCCTGCCGAGATAGACACACACGCAGGCGACAGTCTCCTGTAGTGACAGAGATAAACCGACTTTCACAGACGGACCCACACACTGACAGCCTCAGCGCAGGCTCGGAAGTTATTGCTAGGACGAGGGGTTGAATAATTGAGCCTCTCTGGCCCCGACACAGCCAGGGGTGGCATGGGAGGAGCGACACGTGAAAGTGTGACTGAGGACCCCTTCAGGGTGGCACTGGTGGAGAAAAGGTGACGTGGGGCACTCCTGGGGCTGAGGGGACACCTGTGGGAATGAAGACGGGAACWCAGGATCTTGATGGAAATCAGGGGTTCTCCCACGGGGAAAGGAGACCCTCAGGGAAGAAAGAGGTGACACGGGGACACCCCAGAAGGAAGGCCAATGTGGTGACACGCTCAAGGTTGCTGGGCGAGGCTGCACTCCGCTGCAGCAGTGGAAACTTCCGGAACCCCCGCGGGTGGGCTTGCGCTGGTCCCCAGACGGGTGACCTCGGACTTTCGTCACCACGGTCCGGCAGGGGCATGACATCACCAGGCCAAGTTTTCATTGGTCGCCGCGGCCAGCAGGTGGGAGCGGCCTGGCCCGGGCGCCCCCAGCCTGCTCCAGCGGGCCTGAGCCGCACAGACCCCCGCGCCCCTCCCTCCATGGGGTCGTCCATGAGAGGTGCTGTCGCGGCGGGGTCCCCGCGTCCGAGGTGTCGGTGGAAACGGGACGCGGCACTGTGCCCACGCGAGTTCGCCGAGTGCCAGGGCCTGCTTATCCGGGACCGTTGGCTGGGGAGCTCCCGGGCAGTGGCGTGGGAGACCCGCCGGCGCGGGCGAGCGTCGGGGCATGCGTGCGCGCGCGCGTGCGGTGCGGGGCGCTGCGTGGGGGGGGACGCGCACGCACATGCTTTCTCTGGCTCCCCTGCGACCCACAGCATCCCTGGTCTGCGTCCGCCACCAACTGGGAACGAAGGCAYCGGGTCTCAAGGGCTCGCGGAGAGTGGCGGGTCCGCCTGAATCCAGAGTCGAGCCTTTCCTGGGCCACGCGGAACTGGCTCTCCAAGCTGGACCGTWCCCAACACCCTCCCCCGGGCTCGCGGGAACCCGCCCCCGCAGGCCGCGCGGGATACCTGCGCGGGGTCTGCTCTCAGCTCCGCATCCCTGGCCGCCAGATGGCGCCAAAGGCAGCCTTTCGGGTCCCGGAGTCTGGGACCGGGCAGGGGGCGGAGGACAACTTCTCATCATCTCTCTTGGTTCTCTGATTTCGTTCATTCATTCATTTATTAATGCAGTGTAGGTGATGGAACCCAGGGCTTCGCATCCCGGCTCTACCACTGAGCTATAGTCCTGGTCCTTTTCATTTTGATTTAGGATTTCAGTGAATTGCCCATGATGGCCTCAAACTTGARATCCTCCTGCTTCAGCCTCCACAGCACCTGAGATTATAGGCATATGCCACCGTGCCAGTTCGGGCTCCATTCTTCAGGCACTCTGCCAGGTTTTGCGGTGGAGACCGGGAGGGTAGGGACAATTTATCACCCAGTGCTATCACCAAATAATGATAGCTTAGGTGACTTAGCAAGTGAAGGGACTGAACAGGTTCTGGGAGAGGGCAGTGTTGAGCCTGCTGCTGCCCAGTCAAGGAAAAGACAGCCAGTGTGGGCCGGAATCCCTGGCTGAGGCAACTGGGTTGAGACAAGTGGTTTCAGCCCAAGGGAACTGTGCCCAGGTGTGTGCGGGGCTGGACGCAGCACCTGCTTGTTGTGGGACAGTCCCCGTGGGGAACCAGTGGGGAAGGGGTGGGTCGTGGAGCGTTCTGAAGCCAGTCAGAACTTAGTTGTCTTCTCAGAAACTGAGGGAGGTCAGTGAGCAGGAGAGAAAGAGAAATTGAGATGAAGTTCTTAGTTCTTAGGGACAGGAAGGGGGTGCTGTGGCTCACATCAGCACGTTCCCCCAGTGCCAGGCTGGGGGAGTGCAGAGCCAGGGTTGCCCAGGCAGCCAAGATGGAGGAACAGGTAATGTCCCCCCTGTAGAGAATAGGTTGGGATTTGAGGAGGGCGTCTTGTTCCTGAATGGAAAGTCCAGTGGGGTGAGTGTGTGAGTCTTCAGGGAGCCCTGCTGTGCTCCGGGAGATGGGCCCAGGGCCACCAGGGTGACTTTAGCTTACGGTTTGTCTTACCAGTTGGAGGATGGGGACACCATGAGGATGCTGCGCTCATCTCAGAGGGTTTTTAATTTTGCAGGGATCCCCCCATTTCCAGAAGTTTCAGGATAAAACTTGCTGGTGTTGGGTGATCCTCACATGCATTGGAAGAAGCCCTGGACTGGAGGTCCTGACTCCTGGGTGCTTGCCCAGTGCTCTGCTGACTGGCAGTGAGACTCTGGAGAGTCACGCTTCTTGTATGACCCTCAGTTTTCCCAGAACAATCAACTGAATTTGAGAATAGATCAGCATCATGGGAGCTGTGCCCAGGGGCTGGTCCCTTGGGTGTTGGGTAGGGTTCTTAAATCAACATTCTTAGCAAATCCTCAAGGAGGTCCTGGGAAGGTGGTCTGAGGCCACATGAAGAGTTATGCTGGACTGTGTGGCCCCAGGGTTAGTCTAGTACTGACCTTTCCAGGAGCCACAGGCTGTATGGCTCAGTAGGAAGAGGGTGGTCTAGAAAGTAATGAGGACTTCGGGTGGATGTGGATCTGCCCTTGGTCATAAAAGGTGGATAGAGGGGCCAAGCGAAGAGAGGGGAGATGCTGTTCCTTCCAGTAGGAAGGCCTGAGAGGCAGTGGGTGGGCTCTGGGTCCCCCACCCGGTAGGGAGATGAGACAGGCTTCCATTCATGGGTTCAGGCATAGATGTGACCAAGGTGCCACCTGTTCAACAGAATAGATTGGTGGCATTTCTAAATCAGTTTGTGGTGCACTTTGACTTTTCTTCTATTTGTGAGGAGAAACCAGCAGACCTTTCTCTTTGGATCCARCAGATTGAAACAACTCTCAACATTTTAGACGCCAGGTTGCAATCTATCCTGGGCCTAGATGATGTCACATTTGAAGCCTGTCCTTTAAGTGTCACTGGTGTCACGGATTCTGAAACCATTTCAGTGCGGTCTCAGCGGAACGGTACACAAGCCTCTGGAGCCCAGGAAAGTGAAGTATCATCCGAAAATATCTGACTTGTAGCCAGGGACCCGAGACCTGCCAGGTAGGTCAAGATGGTTCAAGTGAGTGTTCCAGCAGTGGCAGTGAGAAACCTTCTGGTGTTTGATGGTGAAAGTGAAGAGACTGAAAGAAAAGTTCAGAGAGTGAATCTTCTTGCAGTGAAGAAGCTGAATTTCTTTTTTCTTTTGGTGCCGGGGATTGAATCCAGGGCCGCTTAACCATTGAGCCACATCCCCAGCCTTTTTTTTTTTTTTTTTGTATTTTATTTAGAGGCAGGGTCTCACTGAGTTGCTTAGCACGTCACCATTGCTGAGGCTGGCTTTGAACTTGCAATTCTCCTGCCTCAGCCTCCCGAGCTGCTGGGATTACAGGCATGCACCACTGTGCCCCAGCAGGAAGCTGGATTTGGATAAGAATGACATCTATGTGTGTAAGGTCATGTTCCTATTCTATGAGAGTCTGAACTCACTTCTTTGTAGAAGTGTCAAATAGCCTCATCTATACCACCAAGCTTCCTCCACGTTAAAAAGCATAAAGCACTTATAATCTGCCCCGAACAAAACAAACAAGCGAAAACATGGACAGAATTTTCCAGAACAATCCTTCCTAGCTTGAGTCTCTCCCCAGCCTTTTGTCAACACAGGGACCTGGCCTGCCTCCGACTACAGCAACTTAACCACACGGTCCAACGTTGCCCCTCCKGGCAGTCTCAGGGGCCCCTACCCTCCACCTGTCTCTGCAGGAATGTCCTCTTTCACAACTTCTGTTTATCCCAGAATCAACCAGGCTTCTGTCCTCAGTTCTGCCGGTTCAGGGAACCCCTCCCCCTTTCTCTTACAGTCCTTGTCCCACCTCTGCTAACAAAAAGTATTCTCATCTCCATTTATTGGTAAAGATTCAGTTCAGCTGTGTGAGACAGAAACCCAAATAATAATGGCTTAAGCAAAACATAAGGGGAAAGTATTTTTCTCTTTCATAAAAGAGAGCCAGAAGTTAGCCATGCAGGACAGGCTCAGTGTTGTCGATACCAGGGACCAGGTTTTCTTACACAATGTCTTGTTAACTTCACCATCTTCGGCCCTGACTTCCACTGCATGGTGTAAGATGTCTGCTAGAGCATCAGACATTACATCTGCATTCCAGCCSGAAGGAAGGAGGAAGGTTTGAAGAAAGACTTCTCTCCTTTTACAGACATTTCCTGGTGACTACACATAGCACTTGATTTTTATATCTGCTGGCCAGATCGTGATTCTAAGGTCGTAACGGCTGTGAAGGAGGTTCCAAGAGGTAGTCCTCATTCTGATAACTATGTACTTATCTGAAATTTGGATGTCCTAGTATTAGGAAGAAGGAGGAACAGCCGTTGTCTGCCAAATCCCATGACACCTTCCTTTGCCTCTGTCAGTGCAGGAATGAGAAGCACTCATGAATCCCCCCTATTCCTCTGCCTCCGGCATTTCTATGACCTGTGGCCACCTTCCCCGCTGGTGATGTCTCCAGGACACGCTGGTTCTCCTGCGACACTGCCAGGTATTTTGTAACTAACCTRTTTACAGCATTTCTGTTCACTGAGGGTGCTGTTTGGGACC